GTTGTCCTGTAATGTGAATGAGCTGAAATAACTTTTTTTTTTGAAAACTCGCGAAAAAAATCACTGCTAACGCCACGACAAGAAAATCTTTTCACTCAGAAAATCATTCTAAAATCTTTCAGTCTTTTCATTCAAACAGTAACAGTTACATGAATCACTAAAACATGAACAAGCACTGAAGGTATGTTAAAGCTTGGTCACAGCACATGTGCTTTTTTTGCTTTAAATGCGGGCTGGTTGGAAAATTTGGATGAAAAATAAAAATTTGACGAAGTTCACTTACAATGCTCAAGTGAGAGGCATACAACTTAATGGGCCAAAAAGTTCTTATCTTAGCTGAGACTTTACGTAGTATCCATCCAGATGTAGGCCTCTACTAATCTGGCTGGGCTGTGCCATTCCTTCTGATTCTGAACTGTCTGGCATAAATACAATTTAAGAATTTTTATGAACTCATGCGTGAAGCCTGTGCAGTGGTCACCTTCAAAAAAAAGCTGAACTATGTTAAATTTTTTTACATTTGGAAGAATGATAATGTCCATGTCAATATTCAAGTCGCCTTCGAATTTGCCACTGCTGTAGAGAGCCCAATCGTCTGTATCTTGCCAATCATCGTCGCCAAGTTCGGACGCGAAATCGGACGGCATTAGGAATGTTTCGAAATCAGGTTTCTGGCGATCGAAATACTGCAAACTGTGAAAAAAAAAATGTGACAATCCTAGCACAATTTCACTCCCTTTAAACAGTCAGGAAAAAAACCATTAAAGTTTTTCAATTTACATCAGTGAGTATTCAAGTATGATAACAAAGCTGCCAAAAATGCTACTAGTGGATTGCAAACTACGCTGATAAATAAAGCTAGAGTTGACCTGAGGAATATCAGGTGCAACTGAAAAATACTGCATTGTGAAAAAAAACTGTTTGGAATGAATGGAGCGGTGGTGAACTCAGAAAACATAAATGGCTGAAAGTAGACGAAAAGAATGTTTGAGGAGGTCATTCCTGTCTAGAATTGGCCCTGGTTCAAACTTTAGAACCCTGCCCTCGTTAAACTTTCGCTTTTTTAATAATCTCTGACCCCCGGGATATAAAAGCACTCCTTCCTGTCGCTGGGATCGCCGCAACTCCTGAAGTACTTCTTAACCTATTAATCCTGCTCTGGGGAGCTTCAGCCCCCCAGAACCTCACCATCTTTTTCTGTATTTCCATTTGATATTCGGTGTAGTTATAAATATGCATATATGACTAGGCGTTTTACACACCCACACACATACACGCACACACGCTTACACACAGGGCATACAGTACTCTAAAAATATTAATCGTTAGGGTTGCGATAGCTTTATTTAAAATCCATTTAAGCTATCTGAGATAGCTTGACCTAAAACCGAGCCGAGTGGAGCCCCGGTAACTTGACCACCAATCCGTTTTCTTGTGTTTTCTATATTTCTCAATTTTTTGTAAAAAACTATGCCCATTTGACTCAAAAAAAAGATTTAAAAGCTTTCTGAGGTAGTTTAAACCAAGTCGAGTTCCACTATTGACCATATTTAATAGTTGTTGACTTCTGCGCATTTTGAGACAATTTTACCTTTCTGAAAGACCAATTGGTCGTATGCATATTCTAGCAGTCCATTCGGGCACTACCCTCATCAAAAAAAACTCCGTAAGCTGCCTCAGTTTCGCAGATTCAACGTCATTCGGAAGCAGGCAAGTAAATAGGAATGTCAAAGTCGAAAAAAAAAAACTGTAAAAAACTAAAATAGAAAGCCTCCCAAAAGGGCGGTCCCCGTCC